TCCGTAGGAACACAGACGAACTATTGGAAGAAAACCATGCTATGAGAAGGCAATATGAAGAATTAAAGGAATCTTTAGACTTCAATAATGCCGAACTGACGTCTCTCAAAAAAGAAAATAAAGAGCTTAAAGATAAAGTGTCGTCGCCTGAAAAATCTCTCAGCGAGGTAAGAGCAGATGTTGACGTCCTCTACGAAGATCTTGGAACGGCGATAACCCAAGTAGATGACGTGGAACAGTATACAAGAAAACACAACTTAGAGATTCATGGAATCGCCGAAACTGCAGACGAAGATATCGCTGAAAATGTTGTTAAGCTTGGAAAAGTCGTCAACGTGCACATATCTCCCTCTGATATCAACATTTGTCACCGAATGGGACCTCGGAACAGCAGCGACCCCAAACCTATTATTGTTCGGTTGAAATCACATAAGAAGAAAACTGAGCTGTACAAAGCTAGGAAACATCTAAAGTCAGTGAGTTTAAATCAGTATTTTCGTGCTACAAACGTGGTATATATCAATGAAAATGTTACATATTTAAGGCGCAAGTTGTTTGCTAAAGTTAGAAAATTTAGGAAAGATAATCATTGGCATAGGCCCTGGACTTTGGACGGCAAGATATTTATTAAGAAGTCACTGGAAGAACAGCCAAAAATAATACACGCTGAAGGAGATCTTACCAAAATTAGCTAATTTAGTCTTTTTCTTCTTCTTTTTTTTTCGCCTCGGCTACTAAACCCCGATGTTAATTTGCTCCCCAAAATAGGAAACACCTCTTTTCAATACTATTTAAATTATTCACTTTCTTCGCCTTACACCTTGCTACTTTTTTCAGTCTAAAATTTACATTCTGATATTTAATTAGAGGAGAGAATGGTAGGAGGGCGTCGCTTTGTCTCTAATCGCGATTGAATGCTGCTTTGCATCTTTGCATTAACCTTCCTATACAATAAGCTGTTCTGCAGCTTAATTTATGTGCATTTTGTTACATGTGCTAAAATTTTTTGTCAAAGTATTTCGCTTTTTATGTTTTGTCTTTTATTTTGCAATTGCTTTTTACCTTTATAACTTATAACTTATAACTTTACCTTTGTAACTTGCATGCGCCAAAATACTAAACGGCAACTTTTTCTTGAGCAAAACACTATCATGATTTGCACAGTGTGGAACACATATAAACCCGAAAATGAATGCCTAAAGATACCACAAACATACGTGCCTCAAGGTGGTTTCGCTGAATATAAGGGCCCTCAATAAATCAATTAAACGGAGGAAGCTCTTTCGGTGGCTCCATCTGAATAGATTTCATATAATTTTCTTACAAGAAACCTATAGCGATGCTAGCTTGGAGGATGTGTGGCGGGCAGAATGGGGTGGTTAAATCCTGTTTGCGCACGGTTCCAAACACAACGGGGCGTAATGATATTGTTTAAGCCTTCCCTAAACGTTGATTTTCTGGAAATCACTGTGGACAAAAATGGACGTTTTCTCGTCGCGAACATAAACATTAATCAAGATAATTATGCTCCCAATGACCAAAACCAGCAAGTTAACTTTTTTGATAAAATCATCGATCCCATTCACCGTAGTAGTACTAACAACATTTTACTAGGCGGTGACTTTAACTGTCCTTTGACAAAGGTCGATAAAGTAGGTGGTAGGGACATACCCCATAAGAAAAGGACCATCCAAGCAATCCCGGAACTTTGTAACAGCTCTGACTTAGTCGACGTTTGCAGAACTCAACACCCGAATAAGAAGCGTTATTCTTGGGCAAATGGCTCAGGAAAGATTAAATGTCGACTAGATTTCTGGTTAATTTCGAAACAATTACTGACACGCGTTGCTGAAACGGATATCAGCGCATATTATGACTCAGATCACTCGCCTGTCACCATCTCGTTGACACCAGAAGATCAAGGCGTACCTAGAGGACCAGGGTTTTGGAAGTTTAATAATTCTCTGCTTGAGAATGAAGAATTCGTTACAAAATTGAAGTTTTTAATCCTAAATGCTAAAGAAAAGTACAGGGAAGTTGCTGACAAAAGGCTTTTTTGGGAAATGATAAAAATGGAAATAAGGATCTTCTCCATTCGATTTGCTAAAAGAAAAGCTAAGGAAAAAAGAGATATGGAATTCGAACTTCTCCGAAAACTCCAAGACCTAAATACTCGTATCGATGCTGCTCCAGAAGGAAGCCTCTAGCGAACGAGGCAAAAAAGACAAAAATTAAATTAGATCAAATGGCCGAGGAGAAAACCAGGGGTTGTATTGTCAGAAGCCGAGCTCGATGGTATGAATCAGGAGAAAAATGTAATAAATATTTTCTCAACCTTTCGAAAAGAAGTTACAACAAAAGACACATAAAAAAATTGAAATCCTCGGCAGGGTCTACAATAGAAGACTCGAAAACTATCTTGAATGAAATGAAAAATTACTACCAACAATTATATACTTCCCAAGGCCAAACCTCCCCTGACCAGCTATCAGACTTTCTTAATTCTGGACCTTTACCAAGACTAGACGATGTCTCACAAAACCTTTGTGAAGGTTCGATTACTGAAGCAGAATGCTTATCTGCCATTAAAGCTTTTCAAGGCAACAAGACCCCCGGAACAGACGGTCTAACAGCGGAATTCTATCTCTGTTTTTGGAAGGAGATTTCTTGCCCTTTGATTGACTAGCTGTCTTAATCACGGGGCTCTACAAGTAGAACTTTCCATTTCTCATAGACAAGGAATTATTTCGCTAATCCCAAAAAAGGATAAGGACCTATTGTCTCTCAAAAATTGGCGTCCCATTTCGCTTTTAAATACAGATTACAAAATTGCTACTAAATGCATTGCTAAACGGCTGGAGAAAGTTCTTCCGCTCCTTATAGGAAGTAATCAAACCGGATACATTAAGGGCAGATTCATTGGCGAAAACATCCGTCTTATTTCTGATATTATCGCACAACATGAAAATGATCAAGGAATGATTTTCTTTCTGGATTTTGAAAAAGCGTTTGACTCGTTAGAATGGGACTACCTCTTCCGGGTGTTAGAGGAAATGAACTTTGGCCCAAGTTTTCGTAACTAGGTCCACACATTTTATCATAATATCTCTAGCTGCATGGTAAACAAAGGACACGCTTCGGAATTCATCCCCCTAAAAAGGGGAGTGAGACAAGGGTGCCCGCTTTCCGGGATGCTTTTATTCTTGCCGTAGAGCCTCTTGCTATTCAGATTAGAACAAGCAAATCGATCAAAGGTCTTAAGAACGGAAACAAAGAATGTAAAGTCAGCTTATATGCCGATGATACCACTACTTTTATTCACGAAGACTCGTCTGCAGTAGCCCTTTTCGCTTTGCTTGATCGATTCAGTACGCTCTCCGGTCTGAGAATAAATAAGTCGAAAACTGAAGGGTTGTGGCTGGAATTGTGGAAAAACAGATTAGGTAAAGACGAGCCTTTTGGAATCTCTTGGCCGAAGCAATACTTCTCCTCCCTCGGCGTAGTTTTCGCTTATGAAACGCACGTTGGCGAGAAAATCAACTTTGAAGAACGGCTTGTTAAAATGAAAAAGGTGTTAAATCTTTGGTCAGGTCGGCGCTTGTCAATCCTGGGGCGAATTGCTATTGTCAAAACATTAGCACTTTCTAAACTTGTTTATAATTGCTCTGTACTTGATACTCCGACCGATTTTGCTAAACAAACTAATAAGGTCATTTTCCCTTTCATATGGAACTTTAAGCCTGATAAAATCAAAAGAAACACACTGACAGGCCCAATCTCCAAAGGTGGCCTTAGCATGGTCAATTTCGCGGACGTAGAAAAATCTCTTAAAGCTGCCTGGGTAAATCGCTATTGTTCATCGGATGGTCATCATTGGTGTGCGCTTCTTGACTCTCATCTTGAAAAATTCGGAGGCTCTTTTCTGTTTCAGTGTAATTACGATTTGAAATTCTTAGATCTAGAAGGTCTCCCCCTCTTTTATAGGAACATTTTAACGGTCTGGCAGATCCTTCATTCCAAGGTACCCCTTAGTGTTAATGAAATTAAAGAGGAAATACTTTGGAATAACCGCTTTATTAAGATCGGCGGAAAGACGGTTTTTTATAAAGCATGGGTTATTAGTAAAGACAGGTTAGCAAAGATATCCTCAATGCTCACGATAACTTCCTATCTTTCCAAGAGCTTAAAGATAATTTTCACATTCGTGGTACCTTTCTTGATTACGGTGGTCTTCTGGCAGCGATTCCTAAAGATTGGAAAAATGCTATCTTATATGGCAATCAGAAACACACCAACGAACCAAAGGTGACACAACTAACCGTTGGAAATGTTTCATCAAAATATGCTCGACTAATGTTTTCTGAAAAATCTTTCTGCCCTCCATTAACTGTTTACTTAGCTAGAACCAAGTTTGAGACCCTAGAGCTGGAAGTTTTCATTGTTCTCCTGGACAATAAAATCCAGTGCGAAAGAGAAATTGCAATAACAAAAGGAAATGTTAAAAAATACAGAAATAAGTGGACCACGCTGTGCATTTCCGATTAGTGTTGGATTTATAGTAATTCAGCAAACATTTTTCTATTTGTTCTGCTTGTTGTCGTTAATCTGTTGAACCTTCGTATTTCGCTTTATTTTGCTTGTTTGTTTATTTATTTATTTATTTTACTGTTTCGCCTCCTTTTTATTTGCCGCCCTGTTATTGTAAAGTTTATTGTAATGTTATGTTAAATAGACCTTTACAAGGTTAACACCGCCATTTTGCCGGGGGTGCAAAACTACTGGGGCGAGCGCGCGGCCAAACAATAAAATGCAAATGGCTGACTCATCGAGTTGCAATTACCTGCGAAGAAATATCGAAATATCTTAATCTAGGATCAAAACACGTGTACTGAAACTGTTAGTTTGAAATCCTTTTCTATTTCTGCCGCTACCACTCCGGTAGAGCGGCCACAAAATTATTTGTGATGCCTCGACAAGCAGAGAAAGTTCTTGAATACGACGACTTCCTCGGTTGGACTGTTTCCTCGTTAAAGGATTTTCTTTCGCTACGGGGACTCAAGCAAACGGGCAGAAAGTCTGAGCTGATCGCTAGAGCGTTTGGAGCCTACGAACTCAATGTGCCTGTGAAGTTTTCCCAGGAGCAAATTTATCAGCAGATAAAAGACGAATATTCAAGGAGGCTGACTAAAAATGAAATTAAGAGTGATCCAAACATGTTACCGAGTGACGCTTGGATTGACGACGTAAAGGAATGGCCAGAGGTCGATGATGGCAAATTGTTCAGTTATATTTTGAGGACTAAAGCCGTAGATGTCGACTATATTGGAAAATACAAGGATCAGAAGGCCTATTCTTATTGGATGAGTGGCTTTGTAGACACAGTGTTCTTTGCTAAATGCCCAATTAACAGCAAGCATGTGTTCTTGAAAGGCTCTGTATCCCCCTCAGAGAAAATTCGTGATGACCCGCATAAGGTCTGGGTTTGTTTAGAGGGCACAAAAAGTGAATGCAAAATCTTAACCTCTTGGTGTACATGTACAGCAGGTACTGGTGAAGTTTGCAATCATGTTATAGCTTTGCTATATAAAGTAAATTTTGCACACAAGAAAGCTTACATATCTCCTGCATGTACAAGCGTTCCACAAGGATGGAACAAAGGAACTAGAAAGGATGTAGCTCCAACTCAAATAAAAACCTTGTCTTTCGTAAAGACAAAAAGACTCAGGAGGACAGTCCCAAAGAACAGGCAGCCAATTTAACTTTAAAGAACAACTTTGACCCACGAAAGCCCCAGGATAGGCAGCTGACCAATGAAAGGGTGTCAGCTCTTATCAATGGAGTAATTGAGAATGTCCCATCTGCTTGTTTACTTCACTCTATCGAGCACACTAAAGATGACGGCCTACCCGAACCTCTTCCTCAGAGAGCCCTTAGCTTCATGTCATCCCAAGAAATGAAAGGAAAACCATTGGAACATACCGCTCCACTCTTTTTAAAAGAATGTCAGATGACGAGTGACCAAGTGAAAAGGGTGGAAACTGAAACTCGTGGCCAGAGTAACAATGACTCTTGGCATCAACAAAGAGTTGGGAGAGTGACTGCGTGAAATTTTCACAAATTTCACACCAAGGCTCAAACAATCATCAACAGAAAAAGTGACAATGACAAAAACCCATTTACAGTTCAATGGTGTCAAGCCTGTTGAATAAAAGTGATGATGTCTCACATATGCCACAGATAAAGTGGGGAATGCCCATGAAAAGGATGCCATAAAATCATTCATGTCAGATGTGGCCTCTCAACATGATGGTGGCCTACAGGGCTTTAGACAGTGTGGATTGTTCATCAAACCCGATTACCCCTTCCTTGCGGGTTCCCCGGACGGCCTGTTTTTTGCCATTGTTGTGGTCTGGCAACACTGGAAGCAAAATGTCCCTACAGTGTGAGAAATGAAAATATTCAAGAAAAAAAAGACATTTGACCGTGTGGAATTTCTTGAAGATTTTAATGGAAAGCCCCGCTTGAAACGCTCGCACAAATATTACACCCAAATGCAAGCTCAGATGTGGGTTTGTGGTGCCAATCATGGCTTCTTTATTGTTTGGACTCTGGGCGGCCAACCATTGTATGAACGAGTAGAACTTGACTTGGAATTTTGTCTGAAAGTTGTGAACAATATCACTCTCTTTTACAAATCTTTTGTGTTACCTTGCCTGTTAGGATACAGGGACATTTTTGAGTGCCCCAAGTGTGACAAGGTTATTTTGGAAAGTGATGAAATAAGTGATTCTGCAAACGAAAACAGTGTATGCTGTGACCGCTGCAGCACTTGGTGGCATTTGCCATGTGCTGAACTCAGTGTGAATTCTGCAGATGCACTCGACTCTTGGATTTGCCAGAGCTGCCTGGCTGATGCAGCAAACATACATGATGCTGGGGATGATGAACTTGACTTGAACTTACCTGAGGAAGAAGAACAAACTGATAACTCAAACACTGTAAATCATGTCTGCCCAGTTTGTTGTCTTAAGAGTATCCCTGTGAATGGAGAACATGTTTGCACAGTCTGTAAAAAAGCTGTCCATGCTTGGTGCAGTAACCATGAGGACATAACAAGTTCTGCAGACCTAATTTGTAATTACTGCATTTCAGATTAATACATGTACTGTACATTGAATTTTAATTACTGTTCACAAGGAGAAGTTTCACCACATGGTCACATACAGCTGTAACTAATCCCAAACATCAAATCGACAAAATCATAGATTCACAAGGTGTTAAGAACTTTAATACACCAGTCCAAGAAGTACATGTATAACCTACAAAATGTTTTAATTGCATCATGTAATATTTTTCTACATGTAGAAACAATTTAAGAATGTTGGATGCATTTTCATTTCTACTAAGTTAGACATGGAGAAAAGTCAGAGTTATTTACACATTTCTATATATTTTTTATAGCCACTTATTGTTTAGTATTGTTTTGTTGATGCATTTTTTATGAAATGTTATGAAAATGTTGTATGAACATTCCTGTTGCTACGGTTAATTACGCACATTTCTAATAGCAAATTTCAATTCCTTAATCAATTTAACATTATGTAAATACAACTTGATTTGGAAATATACCGGTATTTCATGATAATTTAAACAAAATTGTTTTGTACAAAAAGTAATATTTCATTCACTCATGGAAGGACCTCCATTCAAAGAAAGCCAAGTTCATTAGATAGCTTTTGTGGGGACTGTTCAATCTGAAATAGAAAATGCAAGGTATTGCTCTTATGCCTTGAAATACACAACGATGTCATCTATGTACAGTGTAGTAGTAGTTTCACATTTCATTGACATGTTAACAGTTCTCAAATGAACCTGCCCCAGTCTCTAAACTGAATATGTGGTCACCTTGGCATATTTGTAAATAAAAATATCAAACACAGAGTGGTGGAAGCAAATTGCACAATGCACAGCAGACACGAACAATATCATCAGCCAGGGGAAGCAGGGTAAAAGGCAGTTCATTTTTCAGAATAAGAAAAACTTTGAGCCGTCCAATAGCTTGTTCAACATAAATTCTGACATTCGCAATGTTTGATGTCTCTCTGACATCACGTGGTAGCATTTGCATAGATGATGCACAACTAGGTGAAATGCATAATGTTGCCATGTGCATCATCAAGTCCTCTCGGATTTTAAAACCTGTCTGCCATGACTTCATCGTAAGGCTCAATCATTTTTAAAAACCCACTATTCCTTACAATAAAAATATCAGATGCCCTGCCTCCATAACATGGTGAAACATATGAAATTGCTCCATTTGGGGTGATGGCAACAAGGACTTTGAAAGTGTAGTGGTGCTTGTACTCACTCCATAGTGTTGCTGCCAGGTCAAGTCCACTTGGAGTTTCTGTGAAGCACTCAAAACAGTCAATTACACATCTTACTTTGGGATAAAGCTTTAAAACAGTATGGGAGGGTTTTCTTGATCTGTTGTCGACTAGGCCACACAATTAAAACGGAGAGTTCCTTGGACATGAGCTTAACCCAAGTTATAAAAACACTACTGACAGTGGAAGCTGACACATGGAACCTGAACCCCAAATCAAAAGTTAGAAGAGCTAGTCTTAGTTTCATAAGAGTCAGTAAAAACTCCTGTTCAAGTCGAAGCTTCCTCTCTGGCCCAGGTCTTCCTTTGAGATAGCCAGTTGCTAACTCAAAAGGAGAGGGAGGTTGACACGATTCTTTTCTTGTTTGTTTTCCACCCCTCCAATATTGCATAAACCGAGCCTTTGGGCTCAAATAATCGAACAAGAACTCGAATGCTTTCGGTGATGGCAGACCTGTGTAGACTTTTACTTCCATTTCTCTTGTCAACTGTTCGAATTGCATTGGAACTGAAACGGAGTAATCTGCATCTGCTTCCATTTCTTCATCATCACTATCACTCTCCTCAGGATCCTGCTTTGACTCCTTGGAGCTAGGGAACAGGCTTCTTGCAGAACCAGCTTCTTGTAACTTGTTCGCTTTCCTTTTCTTGGGTGATTTTTTCTGCAGGTAATCCGAAACAGTCATAAAAATAGACGGAAAATCCGTTTTAGGGTTTTCAGGAGTTCTTCGTCCACATGGGAAATGATTTGAACACACGAAAGTCCCACTAGCACCAGGGGAGGATTGAAGGAATCACTTCGAGTCTTCGCCACTTGTTTTCGCCATATTTCGGCAAGTTTAGGGTCGGTTGGCCACTTGTGATATACTAAATTCTCCACATGTGATCTGACAAAAGCAAGGTCAGGATATCTTTTATCATTATCGCAAAAACCTACCGCACAACGAGCGTGTTTTGGCATGTTAACAGATTATTCAGCCGTGTCTCCATTTGCATTTCATGCTCGGCCGCGCGCTCGCCCCAGTAGTTTTGCACCCCCGGCAAAATGGCGGTGTTAACCTTGAAAAGGTCTATGATGTTTAATAAATAAATTATTTACAAAAAAAAAAAAAGTACAGTAAGCTTAACTAACTTAAGGCGACACACGCCATGAAAACAACGTGAAGGTGGTACATGCCATGAAAACAAGTTGTAAGCGACACGCGCTATGAACACTAAATGGAGAGCAAAATATGAAAGACACCATGAAACTAGAGTGAAAGCGACACATGCCAGAAATGGTTAACTGGAAGGCGACACACGCCGAGAAAACAACCTGAAGGCGACACACGCAGTGAAAACAACTTATAAGCAACACACGCTAGAAATGGCTAACTGGAAGGCGACACACGCCGTAAAAACAACCTGAAGGCGACACACGCCACGAAAACAACTTATAAGCGACACACGCCATAAACACAAAATGGAGAGCAAAATACGAAAGACACCATGAAACTAGTGAAAGCGACTCACGCCAGAAATGGCTAACTGGAAGGCGACACACGCCGAGAAAAACCAACGTGAAGGCGACACATGCCATAACAACTGAAAGTGACGTACGCTATGAAACAACTCGAAGCGACACTTGCTATAAAAATGAAATGGAGAATGATACCCGCCATGAAATCCAGTCTGAAAGCGACCCACATTATAAAAGGTAACTCGAAGGAAGTATCGCAGCCGGGCGAACGGCTTCCAGAACATATAGGGAAGGATAGCGACAGGAGCCTCGGTCATGCTCAACTGACCAATTGTCTATCCATCATGGCTGCCAGTTCGAAATTTATAACTGATGCAATAAAATATTGTACGTCTGACTTACTGGACAGCCAAGATCAGTCGAGCATAATACATAACTACTTTTCGAGCATAATTTTAGTCATAATGCTAATGTTTTGAGGGTGACGCTCAAAAGCATAGTGCTCCAATTTTCGAGTGTAATGTTTCTAACCCTAGCTTCTGCTTTGATGTAGACGTAAGAAATGCCATGAACCTATCCAGTAAGGTAGCTTTTAACTCAAAAATGTATAAGTGATTCGATGAATTGCATGTCTTAGAACCCGCCGTTCAAACAAAGAAATATTTGTTCATCGCTGAACTCTAGCGTAACAGACTAAAGTTTGAAAATCTTCTTCATGACGGTCACAGTTTAATACGCTGGAGAAAGGGAACGGCCAAAAACCTCGTGAACCTTCGAAACTTTTGGTCTGATTTCGAATTCCCCAAAGAGTCGGTGTTAAGTTCCTTGTGTCTCTTTTTGTGCGCTTGTTTTATGTTGTTTTCGAGTTAAGGAAGGTTGAAAACAAGGATGTAGGTAACTCGGCGGAGGATTCAACATTTGCAACCATTGTATACTGAAATCGAGAACTAAACTTATTTAAAATGGCTTATATAGTCCTTATAATCCTCTATTTATCTCCAGCCAGAGAAAAAAAGCAAATACATACACAACATACACATAATGAATACATACAGAACACTCCACCACAAATTGTAATAGCTTCGATGTGCGACAAAGGCAGCTGGTTATCGCAAGTCGGAAACATATTTTACAATTCTGTAGCTTCTGCTTTGATGTGGATGTAGGAAATGACACGAACCTATCCATTAAGGTATCTTTGAACTAAAAAACCCGCCGTCCAAACAACGAAATATTTGAGCATCGCTGAACTCAAGCGTAA